TTCCTCTGGTTTCTCCCGGCGTCAATTAAAAAGTTAAACGACAGCGGTACAATTGGGCCTTTGTTCTTGTCTCGATGATCTCAGTTAGTGTCGCATGTATAGGTACTCGGTGGGTTATCAGAAAGGAGATTAAGAAACGAGTAGTAGATTCATCGAACCGTTAATTCGTTCGGGTAGCAACATGCTTACATCGCCTGCAGGTGCGAGAACACATTGGGAAATGCAAATAAGCGTAATAACGGGTATCCTATCGGCAAAATATATCTACCCCGAGGGTCGATGGTCTTCTACCTTCAACTTTAATATAAGATATGTTATCATACTTTCGTATATTTCGAAGTCATCAATGCACTTGAGTCTCCAACTCTTCGATATATAATAATCCACACAACTTTATATCCGCGCAAAATATCAACGAAAAATGCGAATGTATATTCACTTAATGTGTAAAAAAAACCAAACGCTTTTCCTTATCGCTTCCAAAAATTTCTTCCTTTACCATTTCCTTGTAATTAGCGCCTAATCTCATTGCTTCTATCTAAATTAGTCCAAAATTTTCGATACTAATTAAAATTAGCAGAGAAAATGATCAAGTTCGGATAATTTTTTGTTGGTTACGGATAACTTTCTGTTCATTGTTTTCTAAATAAAATTGATACTTAAGTGAATCAAATTAATGCCAATAGTTTTATTCTTCTTTTGGCACAATTTGATATCCTATGACAGGTTCAGCGTTTGAATCGTGAATTAAGAATCATCAGTAAGGGGAAAAATTAAAATAGAAATTAAAAATAATTCTTTGGTGAATATTCAAAAACGGATGGTTTTTATCAAGGTTTGTTTAGTCGCATTTTTAAGGACAGTAGTGGCTCTCTCTCTCTTACTCTTTCTTGCTCGAGATAGGAATGGTAAGTGGTACGAGTGTTCACTGATTCAACGGGAGAGATTCAGCTTCTAGAGATATCAACGGTTTTAAGGCATGCTCGTGGTCAGGGATCGACACTTGAATCGTTTGGTTCGTCTTTGGTCATCTAGCCAACCGATCGCCACTATCTTTCGAAGCTTCCTCTTTCCAGCATGAGAGTTTCTTCTCTCTCTCTCTCTCTCTCTCTTTTTTTTGCTCTCTTCTAGCCTTCATTCCCTCTGGGTGCTCTGCTATGTAAATTAATTAGAACCACGGCAGGCTACACCGATTCTTTTCCAAGCGAGACACGAGGATTGGCTTCTTCCACCCTCGGATCCAGAGGATAGCTAATGCATGGCTTGTGTTAAGGTAAAACATTGCGGACAAGAAAACCATCACGAAGAAGATGAAGGCAAAACTTGGAAACCGGGTGTGAACCCAAGAGGTGTCTCGTTCCCCACTGGTCCCGACTCCTGATAGCAAATCTCTCTTTTCTCTCTTTCCATTCTTCGAACTCAGACCATTTACAATGGGATTTCTGCAATTAACCCTTTCCTTTCCTTTCCTCTTCTTTTCTTTTCTCTCATGGTCGGTGGTTTTCGATATAAGAGAAAAGGACATTTTGCTGAGAAATATCTTCTGATTTAATTATTAATTTATTCCTTGACTTTTCCCTGATTTCCGGACATTTGACATTTTTCCCTGAACCTAAAGAATATACTGATTCACTCTAAAAATGATAAGATACTCAAAAAATAATGTATTTTGATAAATATTACATTGTAAAAAAATTCAAAATACATAAAAACGCATGGTGGCCACCTTAGGGCCAAAAAAGTGTCCACGTCTAAACATAACAAAAAACTTCGTCTTCATAAACAATAAAAATAACCTGAAGCATTCAGTGCTACCAAATAATACACAAGAATTTCCTTAGGATGGCCACCTTAGGGCCCTCTACCCAACAGAAATAAATAATTTATTGAATAAATAAACGTTTTCATTTATTCAGTTAATATAGAAAAAGTAAAAAAAAGTAGATTAAAATCTACTACGAAAAAAGAAGAGTACGATGCTTGCAACAGAGAATCACCGCCTCAGTTAAAACTCGACCGCTGCAGGTACAATTTTAGCGGTTTGAATCTCTAATAGATCCAAAGAGTGCAGACGGTTTAGAATTTCCTCAAAAAAAAAAAATAGTTTCAAATTTCCAACCGAGAAGAGTTAATACATAGAATAATTTTGAAGAAGCACTCGAGAGTAGGCAAAGGTCAGTGAGATGGAATAAAGTAAATGGGTAGGCGGAATAGGACTTGTCGAGGTGCTGGAGCAACAACAACAACAGCAGCAACTGCTACAGAGAAGTGAGAAGAAGAAGGTGAAGGGTCCCCGTGTGTAAAGAAAGCGGCAAGTGTATCGGAGCATCGGACGACAGTGCACAGCGCCTGGGAGTCTGGTCGAAAGATTCGAGCTCCGACAATGAATACCTACCTATTAAAGTGGTGTGAACAATACAAGAGTCTGCTACTAGTCCTACAACCCTACAACCTTTACGAACACATGTAGAGAATCATTTTATAGACATGCACCTAAGGCGTATATACATATACCCACGCGCTCGCCACGAGAAGACCCGTGCTCTCCAAGCACCCATTCTTGGACCTGCTCCCTACCGTGATATACTGCGAGATGAACGATACGTGCGCGCCCATGGACCTGCTTCGCTAACTTGCATATCATTTTGCCACCGATTTCCTCTATCATCTTTTTGTTATCATTTATACTTTACTCGTAATTTACATGACTTGCTTCTTGGTTCTCTGCAATCAACGAGTGCTGTTTTTTTTATTGTGAATTAATCTCGTGTTACACTTGCAAACACAGTTGCACTCTTCTGTACTTTTTTCTTCACGCTTTTAATTAATTTACTGCATATTATACAGAAAACCGTACTTTTCCGAACGCTTTTCAATACTTTGCTGCGTACTAAACAGAAAAGTGCACTTTTCTGCACGCTTTTCAAGATTTTGCTGCATACTATGCAGAAAAGTGTCCTTTTTCGAACGCTATTCAGTACTTTGCTGAAAATTTTTCTGCATTTCTTGTTATTACTTTTCTGCATAGAATGCAGAAAAGTGTCGATTTTTGCACGCTTTTTTATTACTCTGCTGCATAATGTACAGAAAAGTGTACTTTTCCGAACGCTTTTCAATACTTCCCTACACACTATACAAAAAATGTAATTTTCTGCAATTCATTTTATTACTTTCCTGCATTCTTAATAAAATATTATTATCATTATTATGACTATGAATATTATTACTATCCATCAGCATGTTTCAAATTTCGAAATTCTCAAATACAAAGTTTTAAATTCTATTCTTATATACGCAAAAAGTGTGGATCAATTTTATTGTCATCCACTTATATCGACTTGGCAAATTATACTACAGGTAATTTTCATCGACTGAGAATAGAAACAGTAGAACGATTCATATTCCAAATCGGTCAGATAATCAGTAGTCAAATAAGTCAGAGATTGAACTAAAAGATTATTCTCAAATTAATAGATAAGATTCGTAATGATTATTAGAAGAGATAGAACCTAGTTTATTGTCTTGAAGGTTTCTATACTTTTATGGGTTGTATGATCTAGTTTTTTGATAAAAATAAATAGCGATCGTTCACTAAGAAAAAATAAATAAAATTCCAAATTAAGAAAAATATTTATTCCTTAAAAATGTTCCTCCATCATATTTCATTTTTATTACAAAAATATTTTTAGTGTCTTTAAAAGAGAAATTTTTTTCCTCTTCTGAGAGGATTAACGAAAAATGTTGATTGCAGTGCGGAAAATTACACTTTTCCGCACAGTTTTCAGCAAGGTACTGAAAAGTGTGCTAAAAAATATAGTTTTCTGCACAGTATGCAGCGAAGGAATAGAAAAAAATGCATTAGAGTATTGAAAAGTGTGCAAAAATGTACACTTTTTCGCACAGTATGCAGTAGAATAATAAGGATTTTTCTGCATTTTTTCTGCATAGTTTAGAGCAAAATAATGAAAATGGCGCAGAAAAGTACAATTTTCCGAATTGTTTGCAGTACAGAAAAGTACAATTTTCTTAATAGTTTGCAGTAAAGTAATAAAAAGAAATGCACTTCTCTGCATTGTATGCAGGAAAATTGTGAAAAGTGTACAGAATTTTTTCTCTATTTAATTTCTAAATTTCCAAAACTTTCAATGTCGTTTCTTTTCTGGACATAAATATTGATTACGTTTTACAGCAGCCAAATTAGGAAAGATTCAAAATTTTCAAAAAAATACTAAATTTTCGCATTAGGTTCAATTTCTGCATAAAGTATAACAATTATACCAAATTTTTGCAATTTGGTATAGCTACAACAATTTATAATACTGATTTGACATATTTTTAAGGAGAATAGGTCAAGAGCTACTAAATATGCGCCTGGCAAAAATAACTTCATTTCAATAAGAGATCGATATGGGGGTCTAAAGAAGAAAAGATGAACTGGGGGTTGGTTGCGGTATTGTTTTCAAGTGGCATTGTTTTCTAAAAGAGGTAACGAGTGAGTCGCGTGCTTCGTAAAACTCGTAAAAACTCTAATGTATCTCTTTATTCCCTGGCAAAACTATTCATAAATTTCCGATAAATATGATACGATACAATACAGTTTTGACAATAAAAAAAACACACACTCGCCTTTTGAAACTATCTTCAAGTACTAAAGTATAAAGAAAGTACTTCAACTGCTTCAAAATACTTCTACCCAAAATATATTTGGAATAGGATGTTAGTCCTTAATATCTTATACCAAATATATTTTGGATTGTCCATTTCAAAATACTTGTATTTTTAATCAAAGTAGTAATGTACTTAAAATTAGTGAATATTTCTGCTACTAATGTTAATTAGTGACTAAATTTTTACTAATTCGGAGAATAAGTTCCTGAAAAATAATTCCAATGGATCCAAAACAAGCCTCTTGTTAGGAGTTAGTCTCTTGTTTTTAGGAGACAAAAACTTATCCGTAAATTGAGTCGATTAGGAGAAAATTATTCGAGTATAAATCTTACCTTGGAAGTAACTTTTGGTACGTAGATAACTAACACTGAGCCTGAGGATGCTGAGGCGATCCAACTTGCTAAGTATGTTCTGCTCGAAGGGAAGTAAAGAAGCTAAAGTATCCAGTTCAGCGTTGAGACGTTCACGATGTCTCTTGCTTGGATTCGATTTTGTGACTCCATCCTTTTGAGGTGGCTTCAAACTGTAAACAGAAAAAAATCATACTTTCAATAATCGTACAATACACTTTAAAGAATCGGAAAAGTAGAAAAAAAAGAAAAAAAGAAGAAGAAAGAAAAGAACAAACAAAAGAAAAAATACCAAGTTAGCAAAAACATTATTAACATTAGTACAGTTGGGAGAGTTATTTCCGACGTTCTCGTCGCATTTGAAAAAAAAGTCGTTGATAGAGTTCAGGACAGGTTTCGTTCTTTAACGCGACGCGTGACCCTTTTTCATTCTCGCCTTTTGCATTGGAATAATTAGCTTTGTTTTGCACGAGTGCGAGAGCGCGCGGCCGAGACAAGAAACAAAGCCGCTTCTCTCGTCGTCCTAATGGCGTCCGAACCAGTCCAGTTCAGACAACGTTCCAAAGTCCAATCCGGAACGAACCTCCGCCCTCGGGAACCTCGTCGCTGGTAATGGATTTTGTGTCATCTGATAATTAATAGAGTTCTCTGACGCTGCTGGGCGGCGATACACAACCTCATTCATCACGCTTTCTAACCCCTAAGCATTTTAATTAAAACCACTATTTTTACAGCCTTTCCACTCGGCTTTGCACTTCCTTCCTGAACGCCGTACCTACTATTCCATCTCTCTCTCTATACACCACAAGAACAGTATAATCTCCTTCGAGTTATTATACATATCCTTCTGTGACATGTCTTTTCAGAGATTATTTCATCTCTATTATTTCTTCTGCTTTGGGTTTCTTTCGCGGTTGAGAATTTTTGAGTAGAAGACTAAATGCTACCGGACATGGTGCGACTGTCAGGTGCTGTACACCTTTCTTTACTTAACTGCACACTATGCAAAAAAGTATATCTTTCTGCACACTTTTCTGTATATAGCATATAATATTTACTATTATCAGCATAAAATGATATTCATTAATTAAAATAGTATAAAAATTCATTTTGGAAAACATTTTGGAAAACACCCTTTGGAAAGCAGGTGTTACACAAAGTACCAAATGCAGAAAGAAGATGTTTTCTGAGGAGTTTGAAAGTTACTGCTCTCGCTTCGCTCAAGCAGCCACTTTCAAACTCCTCGAAAAACATCTTCTTTTCCCACTAGCACAGAAAGTACAGTAAAATATACAGAAAATACAGTAAAAAATCCAGAAATTATAGAATACATAGTAAAAAACTCAGAAAGTATTGAAAAGGCACAATAAGCATATAATGCATAGCAAAAAGTTTAAAAAGTATAGAAAAAGCACTGAAAAGTACGGAAAATAATTAAAAACTAGACAAAGTACATAAAAAGCACTGTAACTTGAAGAAAAGTGCAAAAAGCACAAAAAAGTACAGAACTTACAAAAAAAAATCCCCGGAATTTCAGAAAAAGAAAAGTCCTAACAAGACTTTTGTATGCACACACGATCTTGAAAATAAGATTTCCAATCAGTTATAAATAGTATAAGAAACACATTAAATGTTGCTGGAAAAAGTATTCGACTGCTAGGGAGGAGGGAGGGGGGGGGGTGGCATACGGAAACAAGTATAGGAGGCAGAGATGAAAACAGGAAGAAAGGCAATGCATATTAATAAGGCAACACTGTGCGTATCGATCGCAGTCAGGACTCTCGGTGGTTTAGAGTCAAGCATGGTTGGATGCGCGCGATCGACCTGCATGCACACCAACGAACTTCTTCTTACACACAAACATACATTCCATTATCGCCAACCAACTCTTTACCATAAAACGACTTTGTTATATTTATATCTATCAACTTGAGCTCGTGCCAAACATCACATTTCAAGGTTTTCTTGTGCTCCGCTCAAAACTAGTCCAAACACGTGTGTACAAAAATATCTTGATTTAATTACAAATGAATCCAACGAGAATTTTGCCCCCTTCTTCTCATTTACTATTTTCCTTTTAAATTAAGTCGAAACGAAACTTTCTTATTGAAATTTTATATCTTTGATTCTTATTTACTATTTTTTTTTTTAAATTAAGTTGAAACGAAATTTACCTTCTAAATTAAGGCTATATCCTTATTTTATAAATCAAAACCATAAAAACGTTTGCTATGGAAACGGTTGCTATGGTTACTAAAACCATAGCAACGGTTGCTATGGTAACCATAACCGTAGCAACGGCTGCTATGGTTTAACGTTACGGACCCTTTGGGGGCCGTTAGGATAACAACTGACGGAGACTCAAGTCTAGCTATATAAATGTTTCGGCCCTAGGCCCAAAACCTAAAGAAGAACGACCCCTAACTTGAAACAAGACAAAATTGTTCATAATTCAAGAAAAAAAGAACGATCCCGTAAATTAAAGCAATTTTATAATTAAAAAAAAACGAATGTTTCGCAAAAGAAGTAGAAGATTAGCCTGCACACTCTATATATAGTTTTCAAAGAATAATAAAAGGAGACGTGTACAAAAAAAAGAAGAGTATAATGAAGATATATATACTAGAATTGAAGTTGATAGTAAGCATTAGTAGTACCGCGTGTCAGTAATTCATTAATAAATTCACGAATATCTCATGCACTATGACTTTACAACCTACATACCTACTCATGCAATTTCACACATGGCGTGCAAACGTGCGCCTGCGAGTGTACGGATTATAAGAGTGCCTTTGCATTGTATTAAATGTCTCGATTAGTGATGCAAAGATTCATGAGTTAACTGGACCGCGCCAAAGATTTAAAATACGCACATTTCTTCCTCTATTGACATGCAAATCAGTAATGTCCGCATTTATCTACCGTGTCCGCATTTATCTACCGTTTTGTTCACAGCATATTTAAATTCAAAGTCTTCCATATTAAAAAGCTCGAACCAGTGAAAGTATTTAAAAACACGGACTTTACGGACCAAAAGTGAAAAACTACGCACCAATTACTGACAAAAATATAACTAGCCCGAACATTTAACATTTATTAATTTTTGAATAAATTAAAATACAATAATGATTTTCTCACCCGGTCATGTCTTATAAATGAAATATTAAAAAACAGAAAAACACCATTCGCACGAAAATGGACAATTGAAAGAATATTCTCAAAATAAATAAAACCCTTTAAGTTTGTGAAAAAAGAAATGTGACATAGAGGGTAAATTTTTGAAAATTTAATCGATCAGACAGTAGTCCAGGTGATAAGGGTAATATTTCCCCTGGCGCAAGCTTATTACTGTATACACCTTTAACAGACGCAACTTTTGCCCTCGCATTAGGCAGGTCGTGTATATACACGTGCAGATACCAATCGAGTCCACGAAGCGTGAACACGGCAACGCACTCGAGAGAGGGTGGTGGTTTCACCTCTAAATCAAACGACTGACATATTCCTCATAAGTTTCAAATTGAAAACGATATTAAAAAAACAACATATTTTCTTTTTCAACCTTTTCTCCATTTTCTCCAATTTATTCTATCATCAAAATTGAATCCCTTGATGCAAGCGCACCAGACGCAGCCCGATTTCATTTTAATGGACTATGTCTGGTTCTTGCTACAAAGTTTTCAATAATTAATTACAATACCAGTAAATGAAAATTACAAATATTTCAACTACGTTCTAATTTTCTGCTCATAGAAAATTATTAACACTAAAAATAAATTTTAAAGTTAAAAAAAATTTTTTGTAAAAAAAATTAAAGTATTTGACACCAACATGGATTAAAACAACCAGAAATAATGTTTTAAACTGACAGTTTTATTTCTAAGGATATCAAATCAAAAAACAAGTTTTTTTTCTCAATTCGCTAATTCTAGGAATAAGAAAAACTATATTCTCAAAAATTATAATCAAATTCTTTAAAACGATTCAATTATTTTTAAAAAATATTCGAAATTCAATTATTTTCAATATCTAGTAGTTTCATAAAATTTCGCAAAATAATTCAATTATTTAAAAAAAAAATTGATAAAATTCACCAAAAATTCAATTATTTTTATAAATAATAAAATTTCCATAGTAATTCAATTAATTTAGAATAGCATTTTCAAAAAAATCAATTATTTAACAAAATTTTGATACAATTCTTCACAATAATTCAATTACTTTCACTAAAAAAACATTTTTCATGAAAATTCAATTTTTAAAAAATTTTTTTGATAAAATTCTAAGTAAGAATTTAATTTTTTTTATAAATAATAAAACTCAACGAAAAATTTCAATTATTTTCAAAACTATTTTACACTGAAAAAAAATTTATTTGATTCAAATAACCGATTAATTGACTATTATCAATTAAATATTTACTTGAATCAAATAATATTTATTGGAGTCAATTAAATGGCATTTTTTAAACAAATAATTTCAGTATTTGAAGCAAATAACATTTAATTGACTTCAATAAATATTATTTGATTCAATTAAATATTTAATTGATAATAGTCAATTAATCGGTTTTTTGAATCAAATAAATTTTTTTTTCAGTGTAAATTAATTAATCGAAAAATTCAATTATTTTCACAAATAAAGTTTTCCACAAGAATTCAATTGTGGAATTTTTCAATTTAATTCAATTAGGGGCCTTTCAAAAAATACGTAACGCTTTAGGGGGGAGGGGGGGTCAAGCTATTTGTTACGGTCAGCAGAAAAAATGGCGCTAATGTATACAACATTGCGTTACATGGGGGAGGGGGGGCCCCTTATTTAAAAAAAAATTTCATAATATTTATTATATTTTGAAAAAATTAATTATTTAAAACAATGTTTATAAAATTCTTATGAAGAATTCAATTATATTTTAAAAAGTAACAAAATTTTTCACAGAAATTTAATTATTTTCAAATATTTTTAAAAAATTGTTCGAAAGAAATCAATTGTTTTAAATACAATTTTAATTCAATTATTCTTTTAGATTTTAATAAAATTCTTCGAAAGAATTAAATTATTTAAAAATTTGTTTGTAAAAATCTTCGTAAGAATTCAATTTTTTTTATGAATAATAAAACTTTCTCTGGAATTCAATTATTGAAATTAGAATTTGCATGAAATTAGACGAAAG